CTTCTTCTTCTTCTTCTTTCAATCTGAAATTCAGCCAAAACCAAATCTAATCTTCACCAAAACCCCTCAAAAATTGAGATATAAACTCCAAACTATATTCCCAATTATTTTCAACAACACCCAATCCAAACAAATAATGATTTTCAAAACCCAAATCCGAATTCAAAGCTTCAAAGCTTTTTAATGGCTGTCAATGGTGGAATTGTTGCTCTCTTTTCCTTTGCTTTATATTACTGAAATTTGGGATTGAGAGATAGAGAGAGACGTAAAGAGAATTCTCAATTATTTGCAACAACATCTAATCCAAACAAACAAATGTCTTTTGAAAACCCAAATTCGAATTCAAAGCTTCAAAGCTTTTTAATGGTTGTCAATGGTGGAAGGGGTTACAGATTTTCGCTGGTTTTAGAAGAGGAAATCGTGGGTGATTGAAGAGGAAATCGTGGGGTGTGGTTTGATACATGAGTGAGGTGGTGAGATTTGGAGAGAGAAACTTGGGGGAGTGGGAATATATGGTTGAGTAAAATTCGGAGACTATTAATACCATTAAAATCCTAAAATGGTACATAAATGGTAATTAGGTATATTGAAGGTAATTATATTAAAAGTTAAGCATGGAGGGTAATATAGTTTACTATATAACATAGGAATGTAAAAATTCCCTAATTAATTACTCTATCCGGTCCACAATAAGTGACCAATTTACTTTTTTATTTTGGTCCACAACAAGTGTCCATTTATATAATAAAAAAATTTAATTTGTTTTTACAAAATTATCCTTATGTACATATCACTAAAAAGTTTTCTTACTCCTCACATTAAATATTTAATTAAGGGTAGTTTAGTCATACTAGGTATTTTTGTATAGAATTTAGTATTTTATTAATAGACGTGCCAAAGCAAATTGGTCACTTATTGTGGACCTGAGGGAGTAGTAAATAAAAAGAACAAATTAGAGTTCCCATACGTTGTTTTTCAAGGACCAAATGACTTTTTATGGTTAAAACATCAATCATGTTGGGTAATCATATAAGGGTTAATGACTAATGACACAAGTCATGCGGATTAGGTCATTAATTGGGCCCTTCTTTAGGTAGATAATTAACCAAACAACTAATACAGATTAGTGCTTGTGTTAAAGGTGACAACCTGTTAAATGGAAATTAATCATTTGATTAGAGAGACAAGTAAGCTCCAAAGGCCTTCAAAGTTTTCTATGTTTGGATTGAGAATATTATTCTTTTTGGCATGTGATTTTGAATGAAATTTTGTAGCCTTATTTTGATATTCAATAATAGGAAAGATAGTACACAAAATTAAGAGTACATACTTTGACATTCTAATATTTTCTCTTGTACTAATTCAATGTTATTACCACACACAAGGTAGTTTGATGATGCGGATGTAGAGCATGTTCAACTGAATTCACCCTTCAAACTTATATTGTTTGAAAGACTTATACCAATATTGCTAGAGAATACGTCATGGTGGCCGCGAAATAACAGGGGTCAAGGTCGGCTAGTCAGGAGACGATGGGGGATAAGTTTCATTGTCGAAAGAGAAACATCCCGGATCACTAGTTGGGCCCCCTAAATGATCGCTCAGTGACAAAGGAGGTAGTGACAAAGGAGGTAGGAGTGCAGAGACAGCCAGGAGGTTTGCCTAAAAGCAAGTCACCCTTGAAAGAGTGCGTAATAGCTCACTGATCGAGCGTTCTTGCGCCGAAGATGAACGGTGCTAAGCGATCTGTGGAATGTAAAAATACATCGGTATGGAAGTGTTAGGCCTTAGAGCGAAGCCTTCGCGCGAGTTGCGGTGGACGAAGCGGAAGCGAGAATGTCAGCTTGAGTAACACAAACATTGGTGAGAATCCAATGCCCCGAAAATCTAAGAGTTCCTCCACAAGGTTCGTCCACGGAGGGTGAGTCAGGCCCTAAGATCATTCAAATGGAGGCGGATTTAGGATGATCTTGTAAGTTCAATTGAATTCATTGGATTCAGTTCGATCTATATATGCATATTTTAAAAAATATCTTAAATGTAAATATTTAACAAGTTCACACTCATTCTGAACGCATTGACTTTAGATCTTGGATTCACTTTTGCATTCAAAATCATACCATTTTGATTAGAATAAAATGCAAATAATTAATTACGAGACTTTAAAAAATAGTTGAGAATCCAGAAGTTTCACGGATACTTTTGAATATAATCATTTAAATGAAAAGAATTATGGTGACATCTGGAATTAAGGAGACAAAAACCATTTTGCATGGTAGATTGTTTGCCTCTTAATGCTTCATGTGATGACTATAAATTAATAAATCAGATCATAAACAAGATTTATTTTCTCATACGCGCTATGTTTCATTTGGTCAACAAAAAAATGCCCACATTTTTTGTCTTCTTATTTTTGCTAAGTATTGTCGTCTGCACCATAACTTTTGTCCCAATATAATTAGATAAAATATTATTTGGCCCTTTTTTGGGAGACCATGAAGCAAAAAATATATGCCGTTAGAATTTGAAGTTTATTAGTTTTGAATTTACCATGAGCTCATAGAGCCATAGTTAATCTTAATTATTGAGTTTATAATTAAATATTTGCCTATGTTTAATGAGTTTTATAATATAAGTAAGAATGTTAAGCAAAAGCTATTGGATTCATCTGAATTCGTATCTAATACTCTATCTAATTTCTATTTGAGAATCTTAATAGAAAAAGTTAACCTACCAAAAGCTAAAATGCACATTTATAGCATTTATTAGAAGGAACCAAATGGATTAAAGGCAAATAAAAAAATAACATAAAAAAGTGGTAGTAACTAAAGTTGGAAAAGCAAAATGAGATGAAAAAATATTAAGCAGTTGTTAGGAGAAAGAGACAAAATGTCAAATCAAAACTATAATAGTGGAGAGATAATAAAGCATAGAAACATATTAAGTTTGTTTTTGTTCACCTAACAGTTTTTCTCTTGCACCCTTCTCTCTTTACATTTCGTTTTCACTAGCTGTCTCTTTGTCTTTAATCCTCTTTGACTTGACCTTAGCTAAAACAAATTTAATGACAATTTTAAATTTCATAACAAGGCAGAAATTCCAAGCCGACACTTGGTAGTTTTAAATGAAGAATAAAAATTTGTAAAACACATGTTCCTATAAAAAAGCAAAACTTTTCTAAACAAGCAAGAAAAACTCTTTCTATCTTATTGGTCAAGCGCTAACGAGCAAAAAAACAGACTTGTTAAGTAGCAACTTCGTGCAACTGCCGTGCCCTTACTTCTCGTGCAAAAGAAAAAAAGATGTTTAACTTTTTTGTCTGCTTCCTTTACCTATCAAAGATTCTGTTAACATCGCAGAAACTACAAATTTAATGACAATTTAATTTTTTTTAGTTTCATGTTTTCTCAAAACAATCTTAGCTGCTTGCATCTCAAATCAATCTACTTCATTCGTGCACTTGTAAATGTTTATTAGGGTATATATTTTTTTTTAGTTTTTTTTTTTTATAAAATATTTCCAGACTAAATTGTATCTCTGTAGACTAGAAAACAGAAAAGCAAAAACGCAAGATTTTTTTTTTTTTTTTTTTTGACTGAAAGAGTAAAAAGAAGCATGAGATCCCATGTTAAGAATTAAATCAGCAGACTTTATATAAAATATCATTTCTCGTAGAAACGATTAATTTATAAAAGAAAACACACAAAAAAAAATCTTAAAAATGAAGTTGAACTGTCAATCCATATATCACATGGCCATGAGGAAATTGTTCAGGGTCGGTTTGTTTGGAGGTGGTTGTTAATGCCTCCACATCAAATCATAAGGAATCTGAATTCTGGTCAAGTTTAACATTTTAGGCTACAAAAGTTTATTCTATCCATTTCAGTTTTCTTTTTAACTACTTCTGGAAATCTTTTTTGCAAGGTAGTTTTTTAACAAATAACTAACGGTCATTGGTTGGATATAATCCTTCCATCCTTAATCAGAGGTTTCAGACTCGAGACCTGAATTGAAAAAAAACCATGGTAAGGTGTGCTTTCCCTTTAATGGACTTTACACGATGCGAACTCGAACTCGGATAATAAAGGCATCAAAGCAGATACCAGACACCCAGTGAGAAACAAAAGAAAGATAACTAATGGTCCAATACTATGTTAAGGATGTCAACATGTTGAGTCCAAATTTAGTTCAGCATCTATGTAACAAGAATAGTGTATTTTGTCTTATCCAATCTGATAAATGTCTTTACATCTGTAGTTTGTGGTAGCCCATAACCCTATTAGTAATTCTCAATAATGTAGTTGAGTTTTGTCACTATATTTCATGTCAAAATCCATGTTTGATTTACTGTCTTTTACTACTAGTAGTTAATAGTAGGAGAGTAGGGAATGTCACAATAGGTCAATAAAAGCTGAGAGGTCAAACTCGTGATACTGCAATCAGAGGCAGAACCAGAATTTGAAGCTTATGGGTTTAGAATTCGAATTCTTTTAAGTTAACGGGTTCTAAATTAATAATTTGTACATATCCAATGAATTGCTTAATACAAATATAGAATTTAGACCTTTCCCGCACCCCGCGCATAGCGAGAACTTAGTGCACCGGGCTACCTTTCATTTTATTTTTTAATACAGAATTTGGACCAAAATTTCTGGGTTCGGCTGAACCCATAGACTAAAGGCTAGTTCCGCCCCTGACTGAAATTCGAATTTTGAATTTTTGACCAGTTACCTGTCACATTGGAAGAGAAATAAATACCCCTAGAGAGAGAGAAGAGAAAAGTGGAGAGATTGATAAGAGTTACATGCAGGGTTATTTTGTAGTGGCAACTTTGCTGAAACATAATGCAGAACAAACTGTACATTTTTATTTGATTAGAATTTTTCCATATTGATCATACTAGTAAGCTGGCTTTCTATGTTTCATTCTATCTTGAGTTGATATTGTATTGTTTCTAGCAACAGCCAGTTGATCAATTATATAGCATTATTTTTAGTCGATTTCACAAATTAATTCCATCAATAAAAGCAAATCAATCAATTATACAAGGCTTTAGCTAGGGCATTCGTCGTGCCAACGTCTTATTTAAAGAAGTTAGTTAAAATGACACAAGAATCTAATTTACAGTTTGCTCTGCAACACCATATTAAGTTACTGCAACAAAAGCACACAAAACATGGATAATGATCAGGTCACTTACAAAGATGTTCATAGGCTGGTCGGATGGCTATACTGGCCGGAGGCAGAGCTACACGCTCTTCAGGATCTCTTGAATTTTCGTGTAAAGTGCTTGCGGAGGGTCAACCATGTCATTGCTTTGCGATGAACGAGAACCTTGATCTTGAAGTTTAATCTTCTCGAAAAGGAATTGCCTCTCAGCTTCAGCCTCACTAAGACGTTGTTTAAGGTAACTGCTAGCATAGTCTTCTTCTGATTTCCCTGATTTTGCAAGAGCAATCCTCTGTAACCTGTCAGCTTCTCGTCTTGCTTCGTCAGCCTTAAGCTGGAACATATCTGCTTCTGCTTCTTTAAGCCTAACAACGCTCTCCAATTCGTCTATCTGTTGCCTTTTTCGCTGCCTCTCCAGCTTCAGTTCTGCAACTTCCTTACCTTTTTCCTCCAGTTCATGATCACAAGCCTCGAGAGCTTGGCGAGCTCTCTTTAGCATCCTCATTTTTTCGTCGGCCACTATTTCCATTTTTTGCACTGCTTCTTGTACCACTTCAGCGATTCGGCTGCATGCCTCCTGTGGTGGCATCATCCTTCCGTTAATTCCAGCCTCACTGCTCTTTTGTGAGTCCATCTCAAGCTCTTCACCAAAATGAGTACATAAATTGATGATATTCAGAATAGTTCTTCCAAGAAAGTAACGAAGATACAAGAAGAAATTATGCCATGCATTTTAGGCCTACTCTCTTTTCAACTTCTTAGGATTTTGGTGATAGCATGATGAGTGATTGAGAAAGGGAAAAGGATGAAGGGCGGATGTTCATCCCGAGAAGAATGAATTTTGTCCTATCAGATAGAAGGAGAAAAGGAAAGGAGGCATCTCACATAAACCTTCTATCCGTGTCCGTGTGCGGCATTTCCATGCATGTACCAGAATCTGGTCATCTTTCCCCTGTTTGCACCAAAATTTGGCAGGAAAATATATGACGGGAAATGATGGAATTCCCAAATTATTCTATCTTTTCTTCCTTCAAAATAAGGACCGATCTGTGCCCATCAGCCTTAGAAAATGGGATGCAAGTGGATCATGAAAGGGAAGGTGCGGATAGAGTCAGAGATCACATAAATAGAGTCAGAAGGAGGACCAATCACTCAAAGAGACTTCACTACTGAGGCAGAAATAAAAAAAGAAACAGACAGTAAAGGGAGGCAGGACTCAGGAGAAAGTAACTCTAGTGAGATAGAACATGGAACCTTCAAACTCTTTAAGGAAGCTGTAGGGGTTGCTCTGATGGTAAGCAACCCCCACTTGCAACCGAGAGGTTGTGAGTTCGAGTCTCCCCAAGAGCAAGGTGGGAAGTTCTTGGAGGGAAGGATGCCGGGGGTCTATTTGGAAACAGTCTCTACCCTAGGGTAGGGGTAAGGTCTGCGTACACACTACCCTCCCCAGACCCCACTAAGTGGGATTATACTGGGTTGTTGTTGTTGTTGTTGATGATGGTGATACAGGCATTTCTACTAGTGCAGATTTAATTTCTAGTTCCTCAGCAGAAGTAAATCACTCTTTTCGGCCTTTTTGCAGGAAAATCTCTCACGCTAAATTTTGAAAAAAGAACAAAAAAATAGGAGAAATTGGACATAGTGAGGATTGAGAGGGAAATAGGTGTTCAGAACACCAAGAAACAAAAAAGTGATAAGCATGCAACATGGATGGCAAGGAGGCAGTAGCTTCTTTTTGGGGATTATAAAAATATATAGTTCCTGCAGGAACTTTTAAAGGATCAATTTTTGATCTACAGCAACATAGCAGTTAGCACCTAGGTTATATACCAACAGATCTATCGCCAAAAAACAAATGGAGCTCCTTAACTATTGGGAAGTATGAAATATTTGTCGCCCTCATATCTTGTACCAAAATTAGAGCTCAGCCAAGGGAAGCTTGGGGTGGTTGATGGTTGATCAGCAGAGAATATAGTGTACCAAAATACATAGTCAAGTACAGAGATTTAAATTTACAGTACAGAAGTGGAAGAACACAAAAGCAGATACAAGAGGAGAGTGAAACTGACAAAAGAAGGTGAACACTTGAAGAGGAGTTAAGCATAAATCTAAGGATCAGAATGTTATAAACTGTGAAAGAATATAGCTTTGGAGAGAAAGTAGACTTGGTGAATTCATTCGAGATATTTCACTTTTATATACAAGTGCAGGAAACTGGTAATCCTGCTAGACATTTGACTTCTATTCCGCTTAGATTTTGAGGATGTGGCAGGAGTCAGTACTTTCCTTTAGCACATAGGCTATTCTCACCTTTGCTGCCATTGAATAGAAAATATATTCATCTCAAACAATGAAATCTTGAAAGTGATACCTCCTATTTCTTATCTATTTCACAGTTGTAGGAGACCTTCCACTTCATGACATCCTGATCTCAGACATTTACCACCATCTCAGGCTACATGAAAGTGCCACTTTCTTTTGTCATTTCAATGATAAGAGTGACAAGATAGTTGCTCAATTTGCTTGATGTTCTTTCCAATTTCATTTTTTCACCAGTTAAATAATAGAAGGTTCTGGAACTTGGATAATCTGAATTCTTTTCCATGTAATTTTTTTTTGCAATCTTGATTCTAACTTCTAACCTTAAAACTTAATGTTTACAGAAGGGAGAAGAACCTGACCCTCGATGATTGTACTGCTACCTCTCCCTTCTGTAAAAACTAATTTTCTATCTAAAGCAAAAAATAACTAAGAAGAGCTGGATAAAAAAGATGATACGAGCAACAAAGGAAGAGCATGAAAAGAATCCTTTATGGATCAAGCATGTCTTCAATCTCTCTGTCGACACGCTTAACAGAGCAAGAGCATATCTGATTCCAAGATTCAAGAGCAGAAAGGTCGGCTAAAACTCTTGTCACGAGTGATGAGTTATTGTTACATGTTTCATCCCAAGTTACCTAAACTAAAGATGGAAAGTATTTGATACAGCTTGAGATCCAAGGCATATCAATCAATCAAACAACTATGCCTCAACATTTAGATATAAACCATATAGCAGTTTTTATGCATTGTTCCAGAAAGTGCAGTAGCAATAGAGAACAAGATACGAGATTTACCTTGGAGAAAAGATAATATACTTCTGCTAGCTATGGCCTCTGCTACTCCACCCTTTAGTTTTTCTATGAGCTCCTCAGACTTCCAAAACAGCTGCCTCCCTCTTGTGTTTTCACTCAGTCGAAAGATCTTACTTACAACAGTTAGTTCTCTTAGCAAAGATTCCTTGTCCCATGTCGGTGCACAATGTTGGAATACATCTTTTACCCAGCCTAAAAGCTCAGAAGTGCGGTTGCATGCTCTACACCTGGACTGCAGTTCAGCAGACCCCAGCCCATTCGCAGAAGAAGCACCTGTTCCAACTTGTTTATCTCGAATTGCACAATCCGTGTGAGTCCAATGAGCGCAGGAATCACAACCAATCCACCGGCATGTATTCACGTCAAAATCAAACTTGTTACAGATAACACACATGCAAAGACTGCAAAATCCCTTTCTATTGGTGCATATCTCACAAAGGCAATCTTCTGCAGGCAACTGACTTTGGCATGCTATATTCCGACATCTCTTGTATACGAAAACCTCAACCAGGGCAGTCTGAGAAAGATTCATACTTTGATGCAGGAAAAATTGAATTCCACTTTTTATAGCAACAATAATTTCCAGCTGAACCCGATGAGCTTTAATCAATGTTTCTGCAGTCAAATCAGACCTCCTCTGAACAAGCCTCTGTAAAACCATAAATTCGTCTCTTTGTTGAGAACTCCCGTTCCCCTCAAGCATCGCTCGAAGCCTACCCTTTAGCTCATCTAAATACTCATTAGGGAGTAAATACATTTGCTCAGATATTATATCCACTCGCTCTCTTGCTATATCAAGAAGAGAGATCCTATTTGCACTAGAACGGCCACGAGTGACAGACTGCTCGTAATAATCATCCTCAACTTTCTGATTCTCATGCTTCATTTGGGCAGCAGCATCAATAGCGGGCCAGGAACTAGCACTCTCAGCAGGCGATTCACGAATCTGATCGGAGTTCATTCTTGGCTCATGATTATCAGAAGATGCAAGAAACAAGGACGATTGTAACCCGTTGGGACGTGGAGGCAGCATATTTGATGATAGGTTGATAACTTATATATCAGCACCTGGAAGGAAAAAAATGTCAAAAAAACATCAAAATAATGTCAATGAAAATAGTGAAAAATAGATGAAGCTAATTTACTAACATCTCGAGTTAAGCCTCTAAAAATCATTTTTATGTCTTTGTAAGCAAGCAGCTTGATACCTTTTACCTATGGAAATGTAATTTAAAACATTTTCAAATGGATCCAAACTAAAACTAAGAGCTGCCTATTTACACTATATATTAAAGATTTTAACTTTATGAAGATTAGATTCTCCAAACAAAAACGTGAGAAATCAATAAATAATTTTCACCAAACTTTAAGCATTAACACACAACAAATCCATGAAATTAAATCCAAATAATTAAACCAGAAAAATATTCGTATTAACTACATGGGGCATCCGCAAATTCTCAGAATACTTGCAAAAGAAACAACAAATACAAATAACAACTGAAAATCAGCTTAAACCAATTTGAATACACTAAAGAAATTAAGTAACATAAGTTGGGTCAACCAAGAAATTTGGCAAGCAAAATATTTATGGTTTTAGGAAAATGAAAAATGGAAAGAGTTTTACACTTACTAATTCAGGCACATTTTTGTGGAGGATGAATTTGAGGACAGATTTTTGAAATAAAAAGATTCTGCTTTATCTTTCTGCATTTCGTTGGCAAAAAAGAATAAGAAAAGTCAACTGCAGACGATTACCAAGAACCGGAAAAGGACGGTCTGACCGTCTCGCACCGTTTTTTCCGGTCTGATTTACGACTAGACCGGTCTTTTTCTCCATTTCCTTATAGTTTTTAATTGTCTAGAGAAAAAGGTACTATAAATTTGTCCTGTACTTCTCTAAATTGCTCCATTTTATCCACCGTTCTATTTTATATCATTCAGACCCCTAGGGTTAACGAGTTATGTAAAATAAATGGACTCCTAAGTGAAAAAGTCCAAATTAACTCCATATCCTTTAACTGTGGTAAACATTATTGTTTGTTATCTTCAATTTGGTGCTCCAATAAGAGTCAAGGGCAAAAATAATACTCTCGCTAGTGATGGAATAATATTAAATTCAAAGTATAATGGAGTATAAAATTGCTCAATTTCGATTAGCATAGGACAAATTCGACCTTTTTTCTGTTGTCTACTGGGATTTTTTCATTCCTATACATTATTGGAAATTTTATTATACTAAATGTTCATGTTTAGTAAATTACCCTATCTATACAAGTTTTGTTTACAAAATATATACATTCCACCTTAAAAGGCTCTCAATCCATTATTAGTGCCTTCAATTAAGAGATTTAGTTGCACCATTTTCTTTTTTTTTTCTCCTCTTCTCTTTCCTTATGTTTCCACTCATATATCACAATTCTGTGGATCTTACCCGATTTTTTTGGGTGTAAACTTTTTGTTTCAATTTTTTACGTTTTACCTTTTGCTCTTCCCACCAACAATCATAAACTGCTTCTAGATTCCCCTGACATCAATTACCACTATATTCATGTTCCCAGAATCTCAGCTTTATCATTTATAAATAATAGAATCATAAAAAGCAACTTATGGAGCAAGAACCATACCTCCAACAGATGGCTCATCTGCAGAAGTGCCTGAGCATATAGACTCTGCCTTCATCTTCCTTATTTCCTTTTTGACATTTTCAAAAGTTCAATATCACATTATGTCAAACAGATTAACCATGTCAAACTCCTAATTTAGCTTTCTCTTTGATGCTGCTTTTTATTTCTATTTTCTATTTTTACTCTTTGCTCTCCCCTTCAATCTTCCTTATTACCTTTTTTACTTTGCCAAAAGTTCAATATCACATTATGTCGAAACTTTTTACTTCCTTTGTATCCAAATTAACCATATCCAAAATCCTAATTTAGCTTTCTCGGTCAAATTGTCAAATACAAAATTTATATAATGTGTCTTTTGTATATTTTGTATCTAATTTATACATAGTAAAAACAAATTTCACACAACTAAATATATATTATACAACTTATCTACAGCTTATCAACAATTTTCATACATTATTTCTACTCAGTTATATACAACTACAATATAATACCACTTAAATATAATTTTATACAAATTTTATACAACATGTCTTTTGTATATTTTGTATCTAATTTATACATAGTGAAAATAAATTTCATACAACTAATTATATATTATACAATTTATCTACAACTTTCACACATTATTTTTACTCATTTAAATATAACTACAATAACATACAACTTAAATACACACTTTAGACAATATGTCTTTTGTATATTTTGTATCTAATTTATACATAGTAAAAATAAATTTCATACAACTAATTATATATTATACAATTTATCTACAATTTTCGTACATTATTTCTACTCAGTTATATACAATTACAATATCATACAACTTAAATATAATTTTTATACACTGTTGTTCAACTTTCATACAATAGTTAAATGAATAAAAGAAAATAAATAAATAACAGAATACAATTTTTCTACAATTTTACTACAATTTCTACAATATAATGTATGTCATGTCTTCTTCTTCTTCTTAAGTAAATTTAAAATGTACATAAATTTTAAGGAATATATGGTAGACTTAACTTAAGAGACTAATTAATACCATTAAAACCTCAAAAATGTACATAAATGGTAATTAGGTATATAAAAGGTAATATATATTAAAAGTTAAGCGTGGAGGGTAATATAATTTACTATATGACATAGGAATATAAAAATCCCTTAATTAATATTACTGTACTATTATGTGTCAAGTTCCCGTTGGACTGAGGTTAGTGTTTGTTTCAATAACAAGCGTAAAAACAAAATTTTAGACCAAACACCAATAGAAATATGGGGTATCAAGGTCAGTACAAATAACTTCAAATGCAAAAGTAATCAATCATTTGAAGAAGAAAAATTTAAGGACAAAAACAGCATAATAGAAGTTTGTTTACAAAAATACTTGCCACATTCTTTGAAAAGAATTTGGAAAAGATTTTGAAAGGATAGTGTCACACCTCTTTTTTACATACCCAAAGGTAATACACGGGAGTTTTTCCAATTTAAGTGATATTATTCAAAATGGGATTATTTATGTTATTCAGAGTCGCCACTTGGGATAGTTTGTTTTCTGGTGTCCCAAGTCACCGGTTTATTTTAAAATCCCAAATCGAGGAAATTCGACTTCCCTTTTAAAGTCTGCGAACCAGAAATTCTGAATAAGGAATTCTGTTAACCCGAGGGAAGGTGTTAGGCACCCCGGGATTCCGTAGTTCTAGCACGGTCGCTTAAACTATTATAATTGGCATATTAACTGATTTTAATACATGTTTTAGCCTATGGTACATTTAAACTTATTTAAACCGCTTTTAATTATTTTAAGGAAGATTTAACGTCGTTTAAAACATGTCTTTGGATCGCGCTACATGAAATGCACCCGCAATCCGAAACACATTTTATTCAACGTTGTTAAGATTTGGATTTGGGTCACATGAAATGCACACCCGAATTTAGGAAGATAATATTATTAAAATACGCCCCTTAAGCAACTACGTGTTTTAATTTTGCGAGGTCCATGGAAATTTACTAAATGGCACGCCTCGAGTTCTTAAGTATTTTAAAAGAAATAATTAAATGAGGGTCACGGGTTTTGGGATTTTATTCAACAACATGGCACACCTCGACTTATTTTACAGGGTTTGTACTCAATTAAAGCAAACTACGAATGTTCATAAGCTATTTTCCTAAACTAGTTTGAGATTATTGTAAAGGTCATGATCTATGGAATTATTTGGTGGAAGAAACAAAACTAATTGGCTAAGAAAAAGCTAACTAGCTTATTCACTAGTCTATTGCGTTGGGCCGGGCAATTTGAACGTATTTGAGCCCAATTTTGATTCTTACTAATCTGACCAAAACCAAACCCCATCNCTAATCTGATCAAAACCAAACCCCATTGCCTATATGTAAAAGAAAAAACTGGTCCAAAATAAAATTCCAATCACATTGCCCATTTCAACTTAAGAACACTGGTCCATTTATGATTACAGTACTAATTTCCACCTAAAGTTAACGTGACCCTCTTCTCACAAATAACAATTGAAGGATTTATTATAATAAACAAAACATAGGTACACATATCAATTAATGACTTCTAGTTGTTAAGATCGAGCACTACATATCAAAATCCAAATGTCCAAGAGTAAACAAGTTGTGCAAAAACCAAATGCAGATCTTCCCGTTCAGTTTCAGTAGCAGTTCTACAATGACGATGGGTCTTGAATGATAGCCACAACTAGTAGATAATATCATTAAATAATGAAATGCTCTTCAAGCAACTAAATCACATCCTAATATACTTCAAGGTTTTGACATCATATTTAAAACAATGAACGCTTAGAAATTTAATTTTAAAAATTGGCATAGTTTGCAGAAACAGCTAAGAGCCATAACAAATATAAATTAAACGGCAATAAGTACATGCCTAAATCAAATATTGCAACTGCCAATTTTGAGCAGAAATGAAGACGATGAGACCCGGCAAAAGCATCCACAGATTCAACAATCAGTCAACAATTTTGGCGAGTTTAAGCACTCTTAAAATCCCAGAAAAATAGCAAGCCAACCAAACGAGATCTTCTTTTATTTTTTTATTTTTCTTTTTTATTTTTTCAGATCTGAAAGCTTTTGACAGAGGCAGAGTTCTTTGAGAGAGGCGCCATTTTGATTAGGTAAAAATGGGGTCCGATCTTGTGTTTCTAGGTTAGAGAAATGAGGAAGAAGAAGAGGGTTGGAATGACGCCTTTGGTTTTAAGATGGGGGAGGTTCTTTTCGTTGTTTTCTTAGCGTAGGATTTCTTTTTTTAGAAAAAATTAAGAGGCAGAAGAGGGGAGCTTCCTTTGTGTGCCGTTTTTCTCTTTTTTTGCAGGAGAAGCTCTGCCCTAGATTCTAGGAAAGTGGGGTTTTAAAGAGAGGGGTTGGGCCAATCCGGGTCATAGGCTGGCAGGTTTGGGGCGAAATTTGGATAAATTTGGGATGGTTTTAGCTAAATTGGCCCAATCTTAGAAGACAAACCTTTTTCCAATTCTTTCTTTTATTTTCTAATTTTTCCCTTTCTTTTAATTAAAATCCTAAATTATCCAAAAGTGTGAAATTAAACTAATTAACTAATTATAAAAATTATAAACAATACTTAATTCTAAATTAAAAGAGAAAAATCAATAAGCTAAAAATTAAAAGACAAAAAATGTAAAAATGAGCTATTTTTGTGATTTTAAAATTTTTATAAAGCAAATACTTACTAATTAATTCTAAAATATAAAAACAAATCTTAAATGCAATGCATGATAATTTGGTATTTTTTCATGATTTTAATAAAACTTAAACATGCACAAAAATGCAAACGATTAAATAAAAATCCTATAAAATAGCAAATAATTGGAAAAAGTCTATTTTCTTTGATTTTATAGGAGCAACTCATATAGGGCAAAAATCACGTGCTCACAGCTGCCCCTCTTTGCTCGGAAACATGAAGAGTTTTCGGGCAAAGATAAAGTGAGCAATATGAGGGATTTTTGCCCGTTTGAAACTCCATGAGAAGCATTTTTTAAAAGAGCCTGACCGAACCCTGTTTCAGAGGTTGCTTACATATCCTTGGCTATAAAGAATCAGGTGAGTGTAGTTCTGGAAGTTTTGGTAGCTGGGACTACCGAGAAGCTGTGATTTCGCTGTTGTTGCTGCAGTTTCTGCTTGCTGAGCTCCTTATTACA